TAGGGTTTTTGTAAAAAGAAAAAAAGGAATTTTCGGGGAATTGGAAGAGGAAAAAAAAGGGAATTTTCGGGGAATTGGAAGAGGAAAAAAAAGGGAATTTTGGGGAAATTGGAAGAGGAAAAAAAAGGGAATTTTCGGGGAATTGGAAGAGGTTTGGGTGGGGCTTGAGGGTGGGGGAGAGAGAATTTTGGGGTGATTTAAAAGGGTTTTTTTGAGGTGGAAAAAGTGAATTTTGGGGTGGTTTTAAGTGGGGTTTTGAGGTGAAAAAGGAGAATTTTGGGGTGATTTAAAATGGGGTTTTTGAGGGAGAAAAGGGGAATTTTAGAGTAAATTTAAAGGGATTTTTTGAGGTAAAAAAAGGGGAATTTTGGGGTAATTTAAAAGGGATTTTTTGAGGTAAAAAGATTAATTTTAGGGTAAATTAAAATGGGTTTTTTGAGGTAGAAAAGGGGAATTTTAGGGTAATTTAAAATGGGTTTTTTGAGGTAGAAAAGGGGAATTTTAGGGTAATTTAAAAGGGATTTTTTGAGGTAAAAAAGGGGAATTTTGGGGTAAATTAAAAGAGAGGTTTTGAGTTAAAAAAGGGGAATTTTGGGGTCATTTAAAAGAGAGGTTTTGAGGTAGAAAAGGGGAATTTTAGGGTAAATTAAAAAGGATTTTTTGAGGTAAAAAAGGGGAATTTTGGGGTAATTTAAAAGAGAGGTTTTGAGATAGAAAAGGGGAATTTTAGGGTAAATTCAAATGGGTTTTTTTAGGTAAAAAAGGGGAATTTTAGGGTAAATTAAAAAGGATTTTTTGAGGTAAAAAAGGGGAATTTTGGGGTAATTTAAAAGAGAGGTTTTGAGGTAGAAAAGGGGAATTTTAGGGTAAATTAAAAAGGATTTTTTGAGTTATAAAAGGGGAAATTTAGGCTAAATTCCAAAGGATTTTTTTGAGGTAGAAAATACTAATTTTAGAGTAAATTAAACCAGCATTTTTGAGCTAAAACCCCTGAATTTCACACAAATCCCAAACCCTTTTCTAACTTAAAAACCCCATTTCCCCTTAATTCAAAACCCGCTCCAAAAATCCCCATTTTCCCCTTGAAAAAACCCCCAAAATTAACCAAAATTTTATTTTTTTTGGGGTGAAAAAAGCCAAGAAGTTTGCGGAGAGCCAGGCCCGGAAGGAGAAGGAGAAGGAGCCCCCCCGGAGGGAGAAGGAGCCCCCCAGGAAGGAGAAGAGGGAGAGGGAGAGGGAGAGGGAGAGGGAGAAGGAGCCCCCCCGGAGGGAGGAGCGGCGCGCGCCCCCCCAGGAGGAGCTGGACGAGTGCGAGCAGGTGCTGGCGGCCGAGCCCAAGGCCAAGGACCCCTTTGCACACCTGCCCAGGAGGTGAGGCACACCTGGGCACACCTGGGGCACACCTGGGGGGGACCAGGACACACCTGGGGGGGTCTGAGACACACCTGACACACCTAAAGGGGAATTTTGGGGTAATTTAAAAGAGAGGTTTTGAGGTAGAAAAGGGGAATTTTAGGGTAAATTAAAAAGGATTTTTTGAGGTAAAAAAGGGGAATTTTGGGGTAATTTAAAAGAGAGGTTTTGAGGTAGAAAAGGGGAATTTTAGGGTAAATTAAAAAGGATTTTTTGAGGTAAAAAAGGGGAATTTTGGGGTAATTTAAAAGAGAGGTTTTGAGGTAGAAAAGGGGAATTTTAGGGTAAATTAAAAAGGATTTTTTGAGGTAAAAAAGGGGAATTTTGGGGTAATTTAAAAGAGAGGTTTTGAGGTAGAAAAGGGGAATTTTAGGGTAAATTAAAAAGGATTTTTTGAGGTAAAAAAGGGGAATTTTGGGGTAATTTAAAAGAGAGGTTTTGAGGTAGAAAAGGGGAATTTTAGGGTAAATTAAAAAGGATTTTTTGAGGTAAAAAAGGGGAATTTTGGGGTAATTTAAAAGAGAGGTTTTGAGGTAGAAAAGGGGAATTTTAGGGTAAATTAAAAAGGATTTTTTGAGGTAAAAAAGGGGAATTTTGGGGTAATTTAAAAGAGAGGTTTTGAGGTAGAAAAGGGGAATTTTAGGGTAAATTAAAAAGGATTTTTTGAGGTAAAAAAGGGGAATTTTGGGGTAATTTAAAAGAGAGGTTTTGAGGTAGAAAAGGGGAATTTTAGGGTAAATTAAAAAGGATTTTTTGAGGTAAAAAAGGGGAATTTTGGGGTAATTTAAAAGAGAGGTTTTGAGGTAGAAAAGGGGAATTTTAGGGTAAATTAAAAAGGATTTTTTGAGGTAAAAAAGGGGAATTTTGGGGTAATTTAAAAGAGAGGTTTTGAGGTAGAAAAGGGGAATTTTAGGGTAAATTAAAAAGGATTTTTTGAGTTAAAAAAGGGGAAATTTAGGCTAAATTCCAAAGGATTTTTTTGAGGTAGAAAATACTAATTTTAGAGTAAATTAAACCAGCATTTTTGAGCTAAAACCCCTGAATTTCACACAAATCCCAAACCCTTTTCTAACTTAAAAACCCCATTTCCCCTTAATTCAAAACCCGCTCCAAAAATCCCCATTTTCCCCTTGAAAAAACCCCCAAAATTAACCAAAATTTTATTTTTTTTGGGGTGAAAAAAGCCAAGAAGTTTGCGGAGAGCCAGGCCCGGAAGGAGAAGGAGAAGGAGCCCCCCCGGAGGGAGAAGGAGCCCCCCAGGAAGGAGAAGAGGGAGAGGGAGAGGGAGAGGGAGAGGGAGAAGGAGCCCCCCCGGAGGGAGGAGCGGCGCGCGCCCCCCCAGGAGGAGCTGGACGAGTGCGAGCAGGTGCTGGCGGCCGAGCCCAAGGCCAAGGACCCCTTTGCACACCTGCCCAGGAGGTGAGGCACACCTGGGCACACCTGGGGCACACCTGGGGGGGACCAGGACACACCTGGGGGGGTCTGAGACACACCTGACACACCTGGGGGACTGGGGACACACCTGGGGGTCCTGGCGGCCGAGCCCAAGGCCAAGGACCCCTTTGCACACCTGCGCAGGGGGTGAGGGACACCTGGGCACACCTGGGGCCCACCTGGGGGGGACCAGGACACACCTGGGGGTCCTGGCGGCCGAGCCCAAGGCCAAGGACCCCTTTGCACACCTGCGCAGGGGGTGAGGGACACCTGGGCACACCTGGGGCCCACCTGGGGGGGACCAGGACACACCTGGGGGTCCTGGCGGCCGAGCCCAAGGCCAAGGACCCCTTTGCACACCTGCGCAGGGGGTGAGGGACACCTGGGCACACCTGGGGCCCACCTGGGGGGGACCAGGACACACCTGGGGGTCCTGGCGGCCGAGCCCAAGGCCAAGGACCCCTTTGCACACCTGCGCAGGGGGTGAGGGACACCTGGGCACACCTGGGGCCCACCTGGGGGGGACCAGGACACACCTGGGGGTCCTGGCGGCCGAGCCCAAGGCCAAGGACCCCTTTGCACACCTGCGCAGGGGGTGAGGGACACCTGGGCACACCTGGGGCCCACCTGGGGGGGACCAGGACACACCTGGGGGTCCTGGCGGCCGAGCCCAAGGCCAAGGACCCCTTTGCACACCTGCGCAGGGGGTGAGGGACACCTGGGCACACCTGGGGCCCACCTGGGGGGGACCAGGACACACCTGGGGGTCCTGGCGGCCGAGCCCAAGGCCAAGGACCCCTTTGCACACCTGCGCAGGGGGTGAGGGACACCTGGGCACACCTGGGGCCCACCTGGGGGGGACCAGGACACACCTGGGGGTCCTGGCGGCCGAGCCCAAGGCCAAGGACCCCTTTGCACACCTGCGCAGGGGGTGAGGGACACCTGGGCACACCTGGGGCCCACCTGGGGGGGACCAGGACACACCTGGGGGTCCTGGCGGCCGAGCCCAAGGCCAAGGACCCCTTTGCACACCTGCGCAGGGGGTGAGGGACACCTGGGCACACCTGGGGCCCACCTGGGGGGGACCAGGACACACCTGGGGGTCCTGGCGGCCGAGCCCAAGGCCAAGGACCCCTTTGCACACCTGCGCAGGGGGTGAGGGACACCTGGGCACACCTGGGGCCCACCTGGGGGGGACCAGGACACACCTGGGGGTCCTGGCGGCCGAGCCCAAGGCCAAGGACCCCTTTGCACACCTGCGCAGGGGGTGAGGGACACCTGGGCACACCTGGGGCCCACCTGGGGGGGACCAGGACACACCTGGGGGTCCTGGCGGCCGAGCCCAAGGCCAAGGACCCCTTTGCACACCTGCGCAGGGGGTGAGGGACACCTGGGCACACCTGGGGCCCACCTGGGGGGGACCAGGACACACCTGGGGGTCCTGGCGGCCGAGCCCAAGGCCAAGGACCCCTTTGCACACCTGCGCAGGGGGTGAGGGACACCTGGGCACACCTGGGGCCCACCTGGGGGGGACCAGGACACACCTGGGGGTCCTGGCGGCCGAGCCCAAGGCCAAGGACCCCTTTGCACACCTGCGCAGGGGGTGAGGGACACCTGGGCACACCTGGGGCCCACCTGGGGGGGACCAGGACACACCTGGGGGTCCTGGCGGCCGAGCCCAAGGCCAAGGACCCCTTTGCACACCTGCGCAGGGGGTGAGGGACACCTGGGCACACCTGGGGCCCACCTGGGGGGGACCAGGACACACCTGGGGGATTGGGGACACACCTGGGGCACACCTGAGAGGGTCAGGGGACACCTGGGGGTCACTCAGAGTGTCCGTGTGTCCCCACGTCTGTCCCAGTCCGTTTGTCCTGGACGAGTTCAAGCGCAAGTACTCCAACGAGGACACGCTGGGGACACCGCGGGGTTTGGGGTCACTGTGGGGGTTTGGGGTCACTGTGGGGGTCAGGGGTCACTCTGGGGGGTCAGGGGTCACCCTCAGGGGTCAGGGGTCACCCTGGGGTCACTCAGTGTCCGTCTGTCCCAGTCCGTTTGTCCTGGACGAGTTCAAGCGCAAGTACTCCAACGAGGACACGCTGTCGGTGGCGCTGCCGCATTTCTGGGAGCACTTTGACCGCGAGGGCTGGTCCCTGTGGTACTGCCAGTACCGCTACCCCGAGGAGCTGAGCCAGACCTTCA